GGCTTTTAATAAGTATTGTTAATGATTTTTCAAATGAGTTTCAAAAATAAATTTTGAGTACTCAATCGATATTTTGTTGTTAAATTTGCTCACGTTTATCCATATCTCTCACTTAGAAAAAATCTATTTACTTGTTGCATACGAGGAGATTCTTTTTTTTTTTCTGTCTTGTTTTGTGTCATTCCGTCATAATAGCCATGTTTTTCATTGTGTTTCAGTAAAAACTGGGAAAAATATTGTCTCAGAATACATTTCAAAAAGAAAAAAGTTGAAACCTTGTAAGATTTGTAGTTTTTTCTGTGTAAAATATTTTATTCGGGTAATTCCGTCAAATATCCTTTCACAAATGTCCTAGTAAGGACCTCGAGTCTGACAGATGTCAAATCAACAGTTTTTGAGATATAGGGGAAGTATGCCGATGATGGCCCCCTTAAGAATAATGCCTCATAATTTTTATATTTATGATTTTTTTGTGGATCACTTCAGTTCATTTTACGGGTCTTGATAAGGGCTTTCAAAACCTGCATTGTATTCTTGATTAGTTTCATGAATTACTTTTTGACGGTCATTTTTAAAAATCAATTTGAGGGGCCCATCATAGGAGCATACATTCCTTTGATGGACCCCGGAGTGTTCCTATGTTGGACCACTGAGAATATTTATGAGAAATAATGAGGGAACATTTTGTTTCTAATATTTTATTGAAAAACTTTTATACCAAAAAACTAAGAGATCACATTCTTTAACACAAACCCCAAAATAAAGACTAGAGCAAAATAAATTGTACATAGTTCTCAGAAAAAAATAAAATAGAAAAACCACAAAAGTAAACAATACAAACAGGAGAATAACATGAATTCTACTTTAGGCATTCATTGACACAGTTCACAAACAAACAACTTGCACCTAGGGCTAACTCCCGCACAATCATTGTGGCACCAAGAGCTACAGACTTGACACTGAATCCACTTTTCCCTAGATTTTGATTGTGAATAAAGTTCATTACAATAGAGGCATGCGGCGTCGTCCGAATTTTCTTGTTCCAGATATTTGTCAACAACCGCTTGATTTTCCTCATCACTGTCGTCACTTGCAAGATCCTTCTTATTTACGAAAACTTGTCGTTTCGCTGCTCTTGCACAAGTTTTTCTTAATTTGACTGCCTTTTGAGCAGCTGTTGCTTTGAGCTCATCAAGTTCTGGTGTAGAATTCAACGTTCCTGTTTTTCCACGTTTTCTAACCCTCCGTTGCATTGACTGAATATCAGCGACTGAAGGTGGAGGACAAATATCTTTGACCGATATGTTAAGAGCTGATTCGGATGATACATTGAGAACCGGGGATTTAGTGAGAGTTTGTGTAGTGGAAGGTCCTGGCAAAGACACAGAACTGTCCAATTGAACCATAATATTTTCTTCTTGATAAGATGGAAAGTCTTTATCAATGTTACCTTGATTGGAAGGTAATTTGACATTTTTGGGCAATGGAATAATTTTTTCAGGTTCAAGGACATCTTCTTGAGTTATTTGAGGTTTAACGGTTGTTAAAGATGGTGAAAACTGCCAATCTTCGAAAACCTCCGGGTTAAACGGATGTATTCCTGTTTTCCTGAAGGAGTTGATAGCATTTGTGGGTATGGCGCTTTTTAAATACGCACGAGTAAATAAAGCTGCTATTTGGAACTGCGTTACAGTTTTGCCAGGATTCTGTCGCAACCAGAGTTGAATTTCTTGTCCGTAATAAGTTTGCAAGGGTCGAAAAAATCCCACGTCGAGGGGCTGGACATGATGGGAACAGTGGGCAGGAAAGCAAAATATTACAATTCCGTTTTGTTTTGCGTACTGCAACGCTTCGAGGCTTTTATGACTACTATGACCATCTAATAGTAACAGAACCTTATTTTCTAGAGACGCTTTCGTGTATCTGACAAAATGTTTGAGCCATTTGCAGAAAAGTTTGGAGGTCATCCAGCCTTTCTCCTGTACAAACGAAATGCATCCCGGTGGAGCACCATTCATTAGCTCGTCTTTCATTCTTTGACGTGGAAAAATTATCACAGGAGGAACGTAAGAGCCAATGGCATTCATTGAACAAACGACAGTAACATGCTGACCGCGTTCTGCACTGCTGAGTGCCCCAACTTGTTTGCGACCTTTACAGGCATATATTTTTTGCGACTTCTTCTGGACTGTGGTCAAGCCAGACTCATCCATATTGTATATGTTCTCCGGGAGAAATTGGTGTTTGTTCCAAATAGACGCTAATGACTTGAAATATGCCAGAATGTTGGGTTTGTTAAAAGCCTGAGCCCTAGCTAACGAAGTACTTTCGGGATTTCTTAAAGATATGCGGGGATTGCGTCTTAAAAAACATTTAACCCATTTCCACCCAGCCATTTTGCGTTCCTTGTTGAAATTGTGTCCAATGCAATTTCTTTCCGCTACTTCGTAGACCAACTTACGTAAATCTGTGCTGGTAAGACCAAAAAATCGTGATTCCATGTCTATGATGTGATCAACAATTTCTTGTTCAATTTGTTTGGAAAAAGTGGCTCGTTTTCCTCCAAGCCCCTGTTTGAGAGCACCTTTATTCGTGGCCAATCTTCTCCTTAACGTGGTTTTGGGTACGTTAAATGTTTGAGCGGCCAACTTATACCCCATTTCTCCTGCCTGTACATTCCTGATGGCTTGTTCCATGTCCACTTCATCCCATTGCTGTCTTTTGGTGGTCATATCTTAAAGCAATAAAGCAAAATGTATTACCCACTGTCTTACATATAAATTACATAGCAATATGTTATTCCTGGTGAGCGCTCACAGGTGGCGAATTATCGCCCGATATCCATCCTGTGCAATTTCTCCAAGATTTTTGAAACCATTCTGTATGAACGTGTATACGCATCAGTCTGTCGCCAAATTTCACCTTTTCAACATGGCTTTATGAACCAAAGATCAACCATAACAAATCTAATGCATATATCACAGGATATATCAGAAATTCTGGATAGGGGGGGTCAGGTTGATGTGATATATACGGATTTCTCCAAGGCTTTTGACAGATTGGATCATGGGTTATTAATTACGAAGTTGCATAGATTCGGATTTTCTGATGGTCTCCTAGCACTTTTTGCATCATATCTAAATAATCGGCAACAATTTGTTTTTTACAATGGATTTAAGTCTACGAAATATACGGCAACCTCAGGAGTACCTCAAGGGTCTAATCTAGGTCCTCTCCTTTTTCTTTTATTTGTTAACGATCTAGCTGATGAACTTACCTCTGGAAATTTATTATTTGCAGATGATCTCAAGATTTTTTCTCCAATTGACAGTCTGAGTGATTGTGAAAATCTGCAGACTAATTTAACTACTGTTCAAAGATGGTGTGCTGAAAATAGTTTAAATTTAAATGTGTCTAAATGCAAATGTATTACATTTACCCGTAAACTGACTTATATCACTTTCGCATATGCAATAAACCATACAGCACTGTTACGATGTTTCTCTGTCACAGATCTGGGTATAGTGTTTGATTATAAATTTACTTTTGTTGAGCATATTAAAACTAAAGCTAATGAGGCAAGTACGGTTTACGGCTTTATAGTGAGGAATTGTAAAGGATTTGATAATATAAACGCCCTACTCACACTTTACTATGCTTACATACGCTCAAAACTTGAGTACGGTTGTTTAATCTGGTATCCGTTTTACAGTGTCCACAAAATTATAATGGAAAAAGTTCAACGAAGGTTTTTAAAGTATCTAATGTTTAAAATGGACGGAACCTATCCAGTAAGAGGGTTTGACCATGGAGTGCTACTGAGTAGATTCACCATGCAAACCCTGGAGCATAGGAGAGTATTGGCTTCTCTGTCATTCTTGTTCAAATTGATACACGGGAAGATCGATTGTCCTCACTTACTCTCGAAATTGAATTTCTTGGTTCCCAGACTCCAAAGCAGGAACAACTTAACATTTTATTGTACTAGAGCAAAAACCAATATTCTCCTGAGATCTCCGATAACTATAATGTGTAGTAATTTCAATAGAATTGATCGAGAATGTGATATTTTCAATTGTACTCTCAGCTGTTTGCAGTCAGTTGCTTCGGGTGTGTTTGCTGCTATTTAATAATTTTATAGGTTATTATAATATTGTTTATTTTGTGTTATTTTTGTATGAAATTGCTCTGTAAATGGGTAACTCTGTTGGGCAATAAAGCTATTATTATTATTATTATTATTATTATTCCTATAATGGCCCCCTGGTCCATCAAAGGAGAGAATACATGGGGCCATCATAGGCATAAGTGCATATAGATTGCTTAAATTTCATATCACATGTTATGTTCACTCTAACCTCAATTTCGATACAAAAACTGTAACACGATACACACGCGAACATTTGATATAAAATCCAATTCTAAATTACTTGTTTTAAGATAAATATTCACTAATATTTTCAACAGACTTATTAGATCAGGACCTACCTTTTTTTATTTTCACACACTGACACCTTCCTATGGCCGACGCCCGTTTCATACTGCATGTGCAGCTCTAAAAGGAAGTTAGATGACGTTTTAAAATGGCCGGCTAAACGAAAATCGCGGGAAACTTAAAAATACGACGGAGGGGCCATCATAGGAAGTGGGCCATCATAGGCATAATTCCCCTAAACGAGAATTAAATTCGGTAATTTTCAGTTTTTGTGTAAGCTCGGACGTTTAACGCTTATATTTTTTCGGAGAGGGCGAATTTTAATAGGGAAGTTTACACTTCTATCGTGCGTCGTGACACTCTAAAATTTTTTTTTCAATTACTGTGAAAACAAATAATTTTCAATAAAATAGTTTCTGAATCAGCATGAAATTCTCTAAAAAAAATCTCCCAAGGAAAACCCTGGTTGAAAAAAAGTAACAATAAAGGTTTTCCTTAAAAATTAAAATACAGTCTAGGTTTAAGATTTTACTTCCATTATTTTAATTAATTTTTCTTTTTCTAGACTATCTCCAACTTTAATGTTATTAGCTTAATCATTAAGCTTACAATATCAAAGTTGGAGATTCTTAATCTAATTTCTAGTCTTACGTAATTAGGCTACTATATTATTTTCCTGAGTGATTGGTAAGGAAAACTTATTCTATTTTCTGCGCGAGTTCTACACTTGTAGGGTTTCTAAAATTTATTGAAAATTTCATTAGATTAAAAGGGATTGCCAAAAAATAGATAAGTTTATTATGTTCATTATCTAAGATCAGTTTTAAGGAGCGAAAAATCTTAGAATAAATCATTTTTCTCAGAACGAGGATTCTCTGGTGGAGAAACTACTGTATTTATTGTTCAGACATAGGTACTATAAATGTACTTATTATAAGATTGATAACAATAAATTTTATATACAGGGTGGGGACTTAACTAACTGGAACTAATTTGCTAGGGCCTTCGGATAAAATATGCGGACAAAACTCAGAAACACGTCGATTATGATTTTTTGCTTACGATTTTTTCACATCAATTTTTTTATACAGGGCATTCCAAGAACAGCTGTACGGTTATCAACTTTATTTTTTTAAATAGTAGCCCCTGTATATTATGATATTTCTGGATTCTGCGGAAAATTCTAGACTTATTTCATTTTACAATGTGATATACCTATCTTCAACTGTTTTGGAAATATTGACAGTTGAAAATTGACTTTTTTGCAAATTTCACAGGCTGTAAAACCGAAACGGTTAATTTTACAGCAAAACCGATTTCACATTCTCGTCTGTAAATTCTCATAGGCTATCATTTGACAACAACTGTGAATTTAACCAGAGATTAAATTTAACCAGAATTTTTAATCATGGATTAAATTCAAAGTTTGCGTCAGATGATAATTTATGGAAAACTAAGACGAGAATGTATGATCGGTTTTGTTGTAAAATCAACCGTTTAGGATTCACAGTCAGTCAAAGATGCAAAAAAGTCAATTTTCAACTATGAATATTTCCGAAACAGTTAAAAATAGGTATATGACATTGTACATGAAATAATGTCTAGAATTTTAGCAGAATCCTGAAATTTCATAATATACAGGGGCTTCTATTAAAAAAAATAAAGTGGATAACTGTATAGCTGCTCTTGGAACACCCTATATAATAAAATTAATGTGAAAAAATTTTAAGCAAATAATCTTGATGGACGTGCTTTTGCGTTTTGTCCACATATTTTATCCGAATGCTCTAGCGAATTAGTTCCAGTTGAAGTCCCCACCCTGTATATTTATTAATAATAAAATCAGGAAAATTTCGTGTCTCGAGCTATATACATACAGATGGATAAAGATGGAAATTTGGTGGGGTGGGAATCAATATTATCCATAATATAATTTTACGTACCAATGCAAATCGATATGAAAAATTAGTACCGAAACATCACGGCCAGTAATAGTACCACTCTTTGGTATGTGAACTTTTTTGTTTGTTTTTATTGATGGATCGGTTCGAATGATGCGATTCATAGCTTTTATAATCTGGGTTATGTATTTTGTTAAAAACAATACAACGTTTTTAATTAGTCAAATTAAGTGGTTCTATGTTGTCTGGATTAATAGTGTTTTAGAAATATAATTTGGAGGCACGGTTTGTGAAACTCATTTTACTAATCTTTTATTTTGTATTAGTCATTTTTTAAACTTTTTAAATGTTAATTTATTTTGTATAAGTCATTTTTAAACTTTTTTATACTTTTGTAAATGCATCGTTTTTTTTTTTGTTAATGTTAATTTGATTTGTATTAGTCATTTTTTAAACTGTTTTAAACTGTTAATTGTTGTGAAATGCTTGTAACATTCTTTGTATGTTTTTTGGCCTTGAGAATGACGCGGAATGCGTCGAAACGTTGGCTGTTGATTTAGAGATTTTGTGAAATAAAGTCCAAATAAGCCGAAAACCGACTTTTCATTAACCTTTATGTGACTGGGAAAAAAACACATTCTTATGACGGCGGGGGTACCTGGGTACCCCCGCCTATTTCCGTATTTTATTTAGCAATTTTGCGCAGCGACATCAACCAGTTCGACTGCCTGCGAAGTAGTACTTACAGGTTAGTTGTATGATGCAACATTATGCTCCTATGTTCCAAAGAAAAACAAATCTGTTACCTATCCTTTTATCAACGATGCACTCAATAGGTCAAGTGGATGATACTACCGTTGCGAAGCCTGAGATAATAATATATCATAATAAAATAAAAGGAGGCGTCGATACTCTGAATAAAATGCTAGGCGAGTATAGAGTACCTAAAACGTAAAACAAATCGTTGATCATTAGCATTTTTTTTTTCAACATGATCGACGTTGCTGGCTTGGCTTCTTACTGTATTCACCAGGAACACAATCCAAATTTTAGAGCCACTGATCAACGTCGTATAGATTTCTAAAACACCTTGCCAATGATCTGTGCTTGCCCGCCGTTCAAAAGTTGTCGGTAATTATTTCACACGTCAGTCTCTAGAAATGATTCTTGATCGACAAATAGTCGATCCGGTTGTTACTCTAGCTAGAAAAGCACCAAGGCGTCATGCTTCTGGGCGTATTATGGTGGTTGGTAAATGTCAAATTTGTCGAGAATCAAACCACAAACAAAGGAATACCCGTCAACCGTATAAATCCTGTTTCAAACCTGTTTGTAATGAACACACTGTAAATCAAACTTTATGTCAAAAATGTTACCAATAAACAAACTGACCTCACATGTAAGACCTCCTTGTTCTCTGATACTCCTAATACAATAAGCAAATGGAAGATAAACTTTATTGCATTTTCATTTTTACTATGAAACATATTTATTTGCATTAAAACTGATACCCATACCTGGTACCTGATACCTGGATACCCAAACCGTCATTTGTAGGTGAAAAAACTTTGCACCTCCTTTATTTTAAAAATAGTGTAAAAATATAATTCACATTTTAAAATTTTGCTTGAATAGCCTAGCTCAGAAATGTCACGAAATCGCAAACTTCAACGGAACAAAAAAACTATTCATATCTAAAAGCTGAATGGGTTCAGTCACATAAAGGTTAACATATTCCTGGACGAAAAGCACACTGAATATACATACATATTGTTAAAAAAATTGTTTGTGAGGATACGGCCAATAATAAAGAAAGACTTTTTTCTCGTGAAGCATTCGAAGTTTATTTAACTTCTTATACAGGGTGTTTCACGAACATCGAAGCAAAGGCGTTTTGGGGTATTTCAAGGTCGATTTAAAAAAAAAACGCCCGGACACGTCAACTTTGTATTCAAGGGGGAAAATTTTAGACCCCATCCGAATTTCGCTAGGGTGAACTCCCTGGGTGGGGTGACTTTCACCCCTCTTTTTTAGATAGAGAAGATGGGTCGAGTGGTATCTTGTTCCAAAGGTATTTTGATTCTCGTCACAACTGAGTACTTCTTTTGAAAATGGAATGATTAGTTCTCAAGATATATACTGTCAAAGTTGCCATAGGCTACATAAGAAACAATCTTGACGTGCCCTGTTATTCTCAAATTAACACTTTCTTGACTTTCCTTTCGGACTCGTCAATTTCAATTTTTTCGGAAAAACACAAAAAAAAGAAAGTTGAAATGTCCGAGAGGAAAGTCAGGAAATTGTTGATTTGAGAATAACAGGGTCAGAAGATTCTTTCCTATTTAGCCCATGGCAACTTTGACAGTGAATATCTTGAGAACTAATCATTCGATTTTCAAAAAAAGTACACAGTTGTGACGAGAATCAAAATAACTTCCAAACAAGGTACTACTCGACTTATCTTCCCTATCTGAAAAAGAGGGGTGAAAGTCACCCCACTCAGGGGGTGCAACCTAACGAAATACCAAGGGGGTCGAAAAGTTTCCCCCTTGCATACAAAATTGTCGTGTCCGAGCGTTTTTTTTTTTTTAATCGACCTTAAAATACCCCAAAACGCCTCTGTTTCGATGTTCGTGAAACATCGTGTATCTAGGACAAACATCAAGAAATCTCAAATCTAGAATAATTTCACATAAAAGTGATATAAGTGTGAAGCCTGATGCTTGTGCTCTATCCAAATATGTAAACCAAACTGGACATCCTATGGATTCCAATAATTCTATTGTTTTAACCACTGAACAGGATTTATCCAAGCGATGTTGTCCAGAAATGTGTTTTATTCAACAAGAACCAAATTCCTTAAACACAAAAAGAGACAAACAAGACTTAAACATTTTTTCAAATTTACTTTTTATGAACAAAAACAAATAATTCTGAACGGTCCTTATGCCTAACATGCATGTACCTTAATTTTTAATTATTGCTATAAAGGCAAACTGACACAATTTTCTCGAAGTAATCATTTTACATTTTTTTTAAATTATTCGTCAGTATTTTTGGGAATGGTTTTGAAGATTTATATTTTACAAATTTTTTATGAACTAGTTATGTCAACGAATTGCCACGCTAATTAATAACCAATTATCCATTTTTTATATGCTTCAATAAGCTTACTCCTTTCCACCATGACTTTTTAAATACATTGTTGTAAAGTAAATACAAGTTGCTATATCGGCATTAAATTCTTATCTAAGCCAGCGCAGTCCCATAAGGAACGTTCATTTGTTTTCAAGCTTTTGCTGTAGCAACTTGATCCATCTATTTTCTTTTGTCACCTCTGTATTTTAATCAATAAATAAATGTTTTTTAAAATACAAGTTTCTGTCGAATCGAAAATATAATTGGCGCAGTCGGTGAGATACTCAGAGTGCTTAAGTTTCGGGAAAGTCGATACAGACTGATCTCTTGAAATTTGGATTATCAGTGCTGCCATTAAACGTTCCAGATACTGTCCACTTCGAATTGGTTGACTGAGTAGAAGGAATAACAAGAAAAAACGTGTGAAGAAAGACTACTGTTATTAGCATCGTGCCTAGTAAGTACACCCTTTCTCTTTAAACATTTTGTAATTCGTATTCCATAATTAGGATTTTTGGATTTTTGATCCTTTGTAATTTCGAATTTTTGATTCACTG